AACATATTACATGTTAATAAAGATTAAACATATTACATGTTAATAAAGATTAAACATATTAAACATGTAAATGTAGATGTAGAGTAAAATGTATTTAAAATAACAGTACTATTAATGTAGTAAAATATATTTAAAGTAACAGTACTTTTAATGTACTGAAATGTATTTAAAGTAATAGTACTTTAATGTAGTAAAATGTATTTAAAGTAGCAGTACTTTAATGTAGTAAAATGTATTTAAAGTAGCAATACTGTTAATATAGTAAAATGTATTTAAAGTAGCAGTACTTTAATGTAGTAAAATGTATTTAAAGTAACAGTACTGTTAATGTAGTAAAATGTATTTAAAGTAGCAGTACTTTAATGTAGTAAAATGTATTTAAAGTAGCAGTACTTTAATGTAAAGAAATGTATTTAAAGTAGCAGTACTGTTAATGTAGTAAAATGTATTTAAAGTAGCAGTACTTTAATGTAGTAAATTATATTTAAAGTAGCAGTACTTTAATGTAGTGAAATACAAGAGTTCTTTACAGAACGTCTTCAGAACAACAAAAACAAAACAAATCTGTAGTTAGACTTTATTAATTTATTAGATTCTACCGTCTATCATCTTCTTCATCATCATCATCATCTTCATCTTCATACAGAACATCTCAGCTGATACAAACAATCCTGTTATGGTTACCAGGCTCCTCATTAGTCTGATTATCATGACAACGCTCTCAGGTGAGTGTGTTGTGTGTATTGAGTACATTGTGTGTACTCTGTGTACTGTGTGTGTTAGGTGTTGTGTGTACTGTGTGTACTCTGTGTGAGTGTTCTCAGGATGTGGTTCTCTCTCTCCAGCTGTTGGTTCTTTTCTTGCAGCTCTCTGATTTGTTCCCTCAGAAGCTCCACCTCCTCTCTGACCGCCAGCATCAGGTGACTCTTCACCAGGTCCTACACACACACACACACACACACACACACACACACACACACACAGTTTATATACACGTTAATAAATAGTTTATACATTAAAACTACAAAAATCAAACTCACCATCGCCGCCTCAATTTTGTTGTCGATGGCGACCAGACTGCTACTGGAGCTGCTGTGAGACACAGAGACAGACAGGTGAGAGACAGACAGGTGAGAGACAGACGACACAAGTAGACCACGACACAAGTAGACCACGACACAAGTAGAACACGACACAAGTAGA